ATAATAAGTTTAAACTAATTTTTAACAATTTTTAGCAATTTTTTATAAAAAAATGAAAAAACCAGGCCGATCCGGAGCTCGGCCCAGGCCAACCGGTCACTGGTCCGGGCTCCGTTTTTGCCTAGCTTGGGCCCGGTTTTTCGGGCCGGGCCTGCCCGGATGGACACCCCTACCTTTAGTCTAATGCACTACTGTACTGAAGCTCACTTTTCTGCTTCCCAAACATGTAATACTCGCAGAACCCAAATTTTCCTTATACTCTATTCACATAAAAGAGCCTTCTTGCTCAAGTCAACCAATCCGCGGTCAATTATATGACCAAGCCTCATATGCAATAATCTGGTAGTATCTGCTTCTGATATCAATGATGCAGATGCAGCTGAGCCGGTAATGACAGAACCCTACAAAGCATATAAGCTAGTGATATTTTTTCCTTTCATAACCACTAGAGAGCCTTTTATAATCCTAAGAACTTCATCTTGTTAATATACCTGCACATGTTTTATTCAATTCTAGCGCACATCATCACTTCATTTCTACTATGTTTTTGATGATAATTCTATCCCATATCAAAAATTATTTGATGGTTGAATATTACAATTAATCGATAGTGGTATCTTAGTATTTGATAGAGAATATCATAGATGTCCCATAACGATAGGTGGGTGAAAACTCTATGCTAACTTTCTTGTGATAGACTCCAAGGAGTATGATGCTATATTGGGCATGTATTGGTTAAGTGTTTTTCATATGTGTATTGACTTTCGTTCAAAGAGGATAGTGTGTAGATTGCCTACTCATCCGAAAATTATATTCTACATGGGATACAAATCAATTGGTCCACTAGAGTATCGTGTTGTATTGAAAGTGTTGTTGACCTTCATGAATGTAGAAGAAGGTAATATAGCATTGAAGGAGGAGAAGCCAATTCCACTGGTCATGTGAGAGTTTTTAGGCATGTTTGCTGATGATATTTTGAGATTACCACCTCTATATGAGATTATGTTTACCATCAATCTTGTATAGGGCACAACACCTATCTCTAAATAGCCTTATCGCAAGGCAACTAGATAACTCAATAAGTTAAGTGTTCAGATTGAGGAGTTGCTCATAATGGCTTCATTAGATTAAGTGTTTCACCTTGGGGTGCCCCAATTTTGCTAGTTCAAAAGAATATTGGTAGTGTTAGAATATGTATTGACTATCAGGAGTTGAACCGAGTCACAATCAAGAATAAATATCCATTATGGAGAATCAAAGATTTGTTCGCCTAATTAGTAGGGGAGACCACGTATTTCAACTTGATTTTAGATCTAATAACCAACAATTGAGAGTAAAGAAAGAAGATATTCTAAAGATAGCTTTTAGGATGAGTTATACACATTTTAAATTTCTTATTATGCTATTTAGTGTGACAAATGTTCCATTAGTCTTCACTAGTCTTATAAATTGTGTATTGTTATAGTACATAGATCGGTCTATAGTGGTCTTTATTGATGATATCTTGGTGTACTGGTAGATGCTGCCATAGCATGAAGGGCATCTCAGATTGATAAAATTATGCGTAAAGAATGTCTATTTGGCAAACTAAGCAAGTACAAATTTTAGCTAGAGAGCACATCTATTCTAGATCACATTATATCTTCTGAAGGTTTATCAGTTGATCTAAGTAAAGTAGAAGTGGATTTAAAGATAAATGCCACCGACAAACATAGGAGAGGTTTGTAGTTTCTTAGGGATGGTAGGTTACTGTCGGAGGTTCATCACATACTATTCATGCATTGTAGCCCCAATGATGAAGTTTCTTCGCAAGGTTGAGAAGTTCAACTAGACATTAAAAATATCAAAATGCATTCAAAACTCTTAAGATTTGTCTAACGACATGACCAGTTTTGACGTTACCTAATTGGTGAAGAAAATTTGCAATCCTCATTGATGCTTTATGAGTTGGGATAGGGTCTGTATTGATGTTGAGCTGAAATGTGATTGCTTAAGCTTCTTAACAATTAAGACCACATGAGAGTAATTATCTTATTCATAATTTGGAGTTAGCAGCAATTATTCATACACTAAAGATTTCGCAGCACTATGTTCAAAAGTGAAGGTGGAAGTATTCACAAACCATTAAGAGTCTCAAGAACATTTATACACAGAAGGAGTTGAATATATGCCAAAAAAAGATGATTAGAACTCATAGCAAACCATGGCATCGACTTTCAATATCATTCTGGTAGAGCAGACATTGTATACGATGCACTTAGTAGAGCACCAAGCGCAATGAGGCTCACAAAGTAGGAGTTAATTGCAGAGATCAAAAGTCATGGCATTGAGGTTATTCTACAAAATAGCTATGCATAAATGATGAATACGTAAGTACGACCATCGTTGATTGACCATACTAAGGAATAATAATTGCATGATGAGGAGCTCATCAAGGTCAAGAAGAGAGTATTTGAAGGAAAGAGAAAAGGAATCTAGATTCATTAAGATGATTCTTTGAGAAAGGTGACCATTTGTGTGTTCCACTAGGTGACGTTCATACAAAATTGCTCACTGAAACTCATTGTTCAATGCTGATATTATTGCAACCATTGCTGATATTGGAATAAAAGTACGTAGGAGCACTATACTAAGGATTTTGTGATAGCTTTTCCTAGGAGCTAGAAGCAAAATAATGCAGTTTTGGCTGATTGTTGATCGACTTACTAAGAGCACTTATTCTGTTCCTTTTCAAGTTAGACAAATTACTGAATGGTTAGTGAAACATTATATTCAACAAATAGTATGGCTTTATGGAGTGTCAATTTTCATTGTTTTAAATCAAGATACTCAATTTGTTTCTTATTTTGGGGGCACTAGATTGAAATTTAGTATTGCTTATCATTCGCAAAAAGATAAATAATTGGAGTGAACAATTCATATCTTGGAAGACATGCTTCGAGTCTGTTAGATTTTAGAGTTTCGTGGGATGATTAATTGCATTTTGTAAAGTTCTCTTATAACAACAATCATTAGGCTAGCATCAAGATATCGCCATTTGAGGCATTGTATTAGAGAAAGTATAGACCACTGTTATGTTAGGATGAAGTAGAAGAGAGGAAGTTATCAGGTCCCAAGCTCACCTGCTTGTCTAAGGAGAAGATTAATATGGTTCAAAAGCATCTCAAGATAGCTTTGCATAGATATTGTAGTTGGGCAGATATCGGTAGAAGACCTCTAAAATTTAAAGTTGGAGATCACATGTTTTCCAGAATTTCATCGACTCATAGAGTTATTCATTTTCATACGCATGAGAAGTTGACCCATGTTACATTGGACCATTTGATAGTATAAAATGAGCAGACAAGTCCATGAACATGTTAGCCTTGTCATCATATTCATAAAGCATGCATAATGTACACCACTTTAACTACCACATAATTGATCTATTGCAGCGGTTAAGTTGCAACGGTTTTAACTGTTGCGTTAGATATCTATCGTAACAGTTTACAATAAGATTGTCTAGGTAATTGAATACTATAATTATTTTGACGTAGGAAACCAAGAACAGCTTCGATTGAGCAGTTGCAATAGCTCGATTAAAACCGTTGCGATAGCTCGATCCAAACCGTTGCGATAGCTCGATCCAAACTGTTGCGATAGCTCAATCCAAACTGTTGCGTTAGGTCTTTTAAAACTGTTGTAATAGCTCCAACTGTCGTCGTAGCTTTATCAAAACCATACTTATAGCCTACTAAAACCGTTGTGTTAGGTCTTTTAAAACTGTTGCAATAGCTCCAACTGTTGCCGTAGCTCTATCAAAACCATAGCTTTAGCCTACTAAAACCGTTGCGTTAGGTCTTTTAAAACCGTTGTAATATCTAAAAAAATCGCTGCAGTAGCTTGAAAACCGTCGCAATAGCTCAATCAAAACCGCTGCAATAGCTTAAAAACCGTCGCAATAGCTCAATCAAAACCGTTGCAATAGCTTAAAAACCGCTTACCTTTTAAAACTGTTGCGTTAGATGCGGGGGCAACGGTTCAAAAAACCGTCGCAATAGAGTTCAAAACCATTACGGTAGAGCTAGGGCAACGGCAGCATATGAGGCGGTTTGAGAACCGTCGCACTTGCTCAAGGGCGACGGTTCCATGGCTAGCGCAACGGTTTTGAACCGTTGCGTTAGAGCAAATATGTGGTAGTGAACTTTAATTATGGAAAAGCATAAGCAATCACGTCCTCATTTTATATCAAAAGATAACATATTCTAATTCCTAAAGCATCAGTGAGAATTACGAATTTACCTTTCCTTTCAGATAGCGTCAATATTGGTGTTGTAGTTAGGAATATTTTGAGTGTAGCATCATTAATATTGGTGCTATAGTTAGGTAAATTATAAGAGGTTTAAATGCCTTCTGACATTTTGTTGTCAATTTGAATTTCTTACCTTTACGAAGAAACTTCATCATTGGTGCTAAAATTTATGAATAATCTTTGATAAATCTCTAATAGTTACCCACCATCTCTAATAAACTATAAAGTTCTCCTAGGTTAATCAGTGGCTTAATCTTCAAAACTACTTCAACTTTACTCTGATCAATAGATAATCCTTTGGGATGATACAATGTGCCCTAGAAATGACATGCTTTCTAACCAAAATTCGTACTTGCTTAGCTTGCTAAAAAAATCATCTTCTTCGCATTATTTTTATAATCAATCTGAAATCATGCTTCTCCAGCATCTTAAAGCAGGTAGGTTATCATCAATGGACACAAGTATAAACTTCTATAAATACTATGTAGACACATGATTCATAAGATTAGTGAAGTCAAAACGAGTGTTCGTCATATCGAATGGCATAACATTTATACAAAATGCCCATAACGTGTCCTAAAAGCTATCTTTTTTTTTGGTAAATGAAAAATTTTATTCATTTCCAAAATGTAAGAAGTATATACATCAAGAATCTCACTGTCAAAAAGGTGAGATAGCTACTTGCAGCTCTAATAGGAGAGCTCAACAATCATGAGAAATACAGGTAATCAACAGTACAATATAAGCTACGACCTACAGTATAAAATGTACAATTAGACTGAAGCAGACCAAAATTTTGCCTCCTCACCATGTGCAGCACCTTCCTGTCAACATGGAGATTGCAGTGAGCTCTATAATGAGAGGACCCATTCTCTGCATTCATCCGGCCAGTCAGAATATCCAACTTAATGTTCTTAATCAAGCAATCAGCAGTTCTACTTTGCAGCTTGAAAATTCTGCAGTTTCTTTCTCTCCAAATATTATAGACAGTAGCCGCTAATGCCATCCTCTTGATTCTTTGTTTTAAACCCCTACCCCTCAATCTGAAACTATACCAATTCATGAGGGGGGACCATACACAGCATCTCCATTTGAAATTGAGCCACTCCATAATGCTATTCCAGACATAAGTAGACATTGAGCATTCAAAGAAGAGATGGCTACGATTCTCAGCATATGAGCCATCACATAGCTTGCATATTGAAGACTGAATGATCCCATGTGTCATTAATCTATCTTGGGTTTGAAGTTTATCTTGTACTACCAGCCACAAAATGAATGAATGCTTTGGGTAATTCAGTATCTCCCAAACAGTCTCGTGCCATGTTACAGGTGCAGAGATAGGATGTAGACTGGTATACAGCTCAAAAAGTTGCAATCTGGAATTGACAATGCAAGAGGCTATACGCTGCTTAAGACTTTCAATCCCTCCACACATTATCAGACATTTATCTCTGATTTTCAAGAGTTGCTTCCACAACCAAGAGTCCCCCTTCCTAGCTTTAACCTGCCAGAATATACTCTATTATGATGCCTTTTTGACAATGCAAGAGGCTATACTGAAATGCACACAATGAAAGATCTAGGCCAGATATAAATATTGGAAAATCTATTGAAGGAAATGATACAGGTAAATCTGTTGCACAAGACAGTTTTGGAATTGGCTGGAAATTTTCATGATCAGAGGATTACAATCTTGGTATGACATCCTTTTGCAAATCAAAGGAAGCCCCAGGTATTTTATAGGTAAAGTTCCTTCAGGGAAGCCCAGGGAGTTAGCAATGGCAATTTTAGTATCCTCCGACACTCCACCATAGAAAATGGAACACTTTGCTGGATTTGCCTCTAATCCAGAACAAGCTCCAAAAGATTTAACACATTGGAAAAGTTTGTTAACAGAATAGTAATCCCCTCTGCAGAAAAGGAGTAAATCATCAGCAAATATTAGATGTGTAATATTTAGCTTTTTGCATTTGGGGTGGAACTTAAAATTTTTGTCAAACTTCAGCATATTCAGATTTCTCGTCAGATACTCCATTCCAAGAATGAACAGGTAGGGGGATAGAGGATCCGCTTGCCTCAGTCCTCTTTGTCCCTTGAAGAAGCCATGTAGACTTCCATTTAGGGAAATTGAGTAGTTTGGATTTGAAATACAGCTCATAACCCAGTTGATAAAGACCAATGGAAATCCAAGTCCCTTCATAATTACTTTAATGAAATTCCAACTTATAGAGTCAAAAGTTTTCCTGATATCTATATTGATCATGATCCTTGGTGATAAATGTTTCCTTCCATAGTTCTTCATCAGTTCATGAGCTAGAAGGATGTTGTTTGAGATTTGCCTACCCTTCACAAAAGCACTTTGGGCTTCGTTTACTATAATCCCCATAACTGCCTGAATTCTATTTGTCAAAATTTTCGAGATGATTTTATAGAGGCAATTGCAGCAGGAAATAGGTCTGTAGTCAGCAGGAGATTTTGAACAATTTATCTTTGGAACAAGAGTGATCGAAGTGGAATTTACTGCACCCAGAAGCCTAAAAGCTATCTTTTGAATGCCTTCTTTCTTCACCCTCAATGGGTGTCCCTGCTAGCTAATTGAAAAAATTATTAATTCTTGATAACAGATATTTATTCATGATGGTGACTCAATTCAACTTTAGATAGTCAATACACATTCTCCCACTATCGTCCTTCTTTTGAACTAGCAAAACTGGGGCTCCCCAAGGTGAAACACTCTGTTAGATGAATCCCTTACTAATTAGTTTCTCAATTTAAATCCTTAATTCTTCAAGTTCTCTAGACACCATGCGATAAGGTGGTTCGTGATAGGTGCTATCCCTGATATGAGATCAATGGTAGACTCAATCTCATATTGAGGTGGTAATCTCAGAAGATAATCAAGAAATATGTCTCAAAACTCTCACATCACTGATGGAATTAGTTTCTCCTCCTTCGATGCTACATCTCCTTCTAATCTTATGAGGGTCAACAACCCTTTTGGTACAGCACAATACTCCGATGAATCAACTAAGTTGCATCTTCTACTGAATATAAATTTCAAATTATTAGGCAATCTAACTACTACCATGTTATGATGGCAATCAATACATGCATGTAAAAAAACCCTAACCAACCCATGCCCAATTGGCATCGTAACATTTTGAGTCTACCATAAGAAACTTAGCAAAGAGTTCTCACCCATATATCATTACAAGACACCTACAATATTCTCTATCAGATACTAAGCCATCACTGTCAGTTATGATATCCAACCCTCAAATAATTTATGACATGGAATAGAATTATCATCCACAAACTTGATAGAAATGAAGTAACAAGATGCGCCAAAATTGAATAAGACATGTACATGTATATCACTAACAAGAATAATACCTATAATCACATCACCAGCTTCTTCAGCTTCCTCGGCTATCAAGGCATAAGCATACTCCTAATCATGAGGTGTATCAGCCTCATTCTTCTAATTAGCATTGTCATTCTGTACTCTCTTCTGCTTCGTATTATATACCCTAGCAAAGCGCTTGAATTGCTTTCCTTGGTAGGATACAATCTCCTTGTTGTTTATCTGCTGATTCACATACTGCACTGGGATAATGTCTCTAGAATTAGGGAAAAAGTTGCATTATGATCCCTAGCTCCACAAGTATAGCACTTCCCTTGAGACTTCTAGAATTGTTCCATGCTTTGCTTGTACTTTCTATAGAAGTCGCACGTCGGCTTCAATTTCCTTTCTTGAGGGTTGATGTGTCATATTCGAACACTTGGCTTGACTGCCATTATAGCCTCCCTTGTCTTGCTGAACAGCTCTAGCATTTGGATGTTTCCCTCTTGCTATTGCATTCATATTTGTATGTCTATTCCTATCTGATGCTACCATCTGCTCAAACTATTGAGATGCCATCAGTACCTCAATGTATGTCTTTAACCTCTGCATGATAATATGAGACTTAACTTCATAGTTTAATCCATCCAAAAATTTTCTAGACCAATTCTTTTCCATCCCGTCTAGTCTAACGCATACTAACTGAGTCTCTCAAACTCTAAAGCATATTCATGTACAGATCAATTTCCTTAAAAATGATCAATTAAATGGTGTACGTTGAAGCACCATCAATATCGCTTCTGACAAGTTACTTCTCTATAAAGATCATTGTGAAGTCTACCTATAATATTAGTCCATTTGCATGAGCATCTTCTATTACCAACCATGACCAAGTTTGACCGACAAATTAAACCTTTACCACCTTCACATGATCTGCATTATGGGTCTTCACTACATCCAAAAGTCCCCTTAGTCTTCTCAAACCAATCAAGAGCCAAACTTGCTAAACCAACTCTCAAAAACTTCTTAGCTTGCAATATCTAAAATTCTATCATACTTTCCGCACGTGGTGTGATCGAGTTTTGATGCAGGAAAAATTCATAGATTAGATTTGATTCAGATCATAGAAGACAAAATTGTTAGGATTTAAAAATTAGATTGGGTTTTAGACGGACTAGAATTAGTTATTGGATTTTGTTTCTGTTAGGATAAGGTTGAATTTGTTTAATTTGTTTTATAGATTAGGTTGAATTTATTTGAGTGTTAGATTTGGTCTTTATTTTGTTTAGATAAAGATTTCAAACTCTATAAAAGAGTGAAGGTAATTCTTGTAAGGCAGTAGAGAGATTATGAAGAATTTATGAAAATTTGAGTTGAAGAAAATCTTGCATGATTTTTCTAAGGCGTAAGCTATTGCTTCTCAATGTGAAGTCAAAAGGGTTAAGCGTCTGCGTGTGAATCCATCTTAACTAACGGTTAGATGTTTTTGAGTGAATCCTATCTAACCTCAATTTATCCTACATTGTAGGTCTTGTATTTTATAAAAAATTTAAAAAAAGAAAAGATAAAGTTCATTGTATTGTTCACCCGAGGTACTACACGTTTATCCAAAAAAAAATTAATGAAGTTTTTTAGGTGCTTTTTCTTTCCCCATTAATTGGTATCAGAGTAAGTTCATGTGATCCACATTAATTATGGGTAAATATCTGCTTCCTACTTCACAACAATATGAATTCAATCTATTAAAATTTGACACTTTATCTTATTTCATGATTTTGATGAGTATGAGGAGCTACATGATTTGAAAGTCTAGATGCATGATGTGGATGATATATTTATTATTTATGATATGTCTAAAATACAAAAGTATTTATATACAAAGTTTAGGCCCAGTAAATAAGCTCAAGAGCGGTAGTCTAGAAATTATTCAGGCTATTTTTCAGCTATCCGTTTGTGGGAGCCTATGAATTTGTTCTGAAAAGAAGATATTCTTATCAACCAACTAGACAATACTTTAGTTTCTCATTAAAACCTAAAGAAGAGTCAACACTAGTGTCCCTACTCTAATTAGATTTAATCCCGCTGTTGAAATCTGAGTTTAATATAAAGCTAGAAGCATAAGAAAAATTGGAGATGGAGCCACAATCAGATCCTGAATTTGAATATAAATGTGAGTTAGAAAAATATGTATATCAAAGCGTCAATCTAGAACCTAAGCCTGAATTAGAACTAGAAGAGGAAAATCTGAAGATAGATTTAGAGTCTGAGACTCAGCCTTTGATAATGAACTTTGTTATACCGGATACTCCTCCACTAACCCGTTATCAAGTTTTACAAATATTATTGAAAACTTTGGATACTATTATATTAGAATACATAAAAACTGCAGAGTTATCATGTTATTCTTATCTAAAACTTGAGGTGGAATTTTTTACAATAATAAGAGAATTGATGCAGGCAGTGTTGTAAATAGCGGGGAATAGCGGCTGTAGGCATCGAAAATTGCCTATAGGTCTCCACGAACGGTTCAGCGTTAAAGAGCGACGATGAACATCATTATCCGAGCCACAGGAGTCTAATTGACGTCGATGAACGATTGAAGTGAATCGACGAACTACGTGAGCTGATAGGATTTCGGAACAACGAAGACCCGGACCAATCAGGAACCCGGCACTGTTCACAAAAAGGACAATGCCCTTCGTGCCTCGACCACTCTACAGATAATCCAACCACCAGAACGGATCGAACTCTTCGTCAAGCATCCAACGCACCCGGAATCACTCAAATCCGAGGTCGGACGAAGAATCTACAGGGAAAACAACCGAATCACCTTAAACGGAGTCTCGGGAGGTCGAAACACCCCGGGGGTGTCTAGGAAAAGCCTAGACACCCCAGGGGTGTCTCGGCCATGGCCGAGACACCAGGGGGTGTCTAGGCCCCCTACCTACCCCCTAGAGCCCTCATATGCCTATAAATAGCCCCCTTGCCTTTGTTTTGAGGGGAGGATTCTTGGAGAGCCTTGGCGAAGCCCTGCTGCAGTGAAGAGGGGCCGTGCGCTTCAACAAGGAAAGAAGAAGTCTTCATCAGATTCT